CGGTTTTGTTGCGGAGAAATCCCAGCCAAACGTTAATTCAACCAACACTACTTCTTATGCACCTCCACCGTCATCTCCTGATCAGTCGTATAGTCCAGTTAGTACTGTAGGATTGTCTGCAATTTCTGCAGCTTTGGGCAGCATCGCGACATCAGATTGGTTCTTGTTTGGGAACTCTTTGGGTTTTGCAGCATCAGTCAATGTCCTAATCTATCTCACGGCTGGGTTTCCTTTCCAAAGAGAGCTTCAAATTTCCTTATACTCAATGATGTTTGCTTATGGTTGTTCAGTGAATGATATTCAGCCAAAAGAAATTGCTAGATGTCTCATTCTCGCAATAGCTTTTCTTGTACCTATTCTGGTAAGATGGCCTCCGAGATGGGCAGTAAAACTTTGGGGATACTACAAGACTGAAGCTGGTACGGTAAATGCACGAGGTTGATACATGTGTTCAAAAATTTACAATTTCTATTAGAGGAACGTAGTAAAGGGGCGATTAATAATTATCATCGTCTTATATAACTCTTGTCACACTCAGCAAAACATGTTTTATTTGTAAAGCCATTGTCTCTTTTATTTGCTTTCTGATGGCATCGTTTGTTGTCGTTTGTAAGTTTTGCTATGAATTGTAATCGTTTGTAATTTGTATATTCTTGTTGTTTATTATAGTTATCGTCGTTTGTTGTTTGATGTCGTTTTCTATGTTTTGTCGTTTTTAATTGTGTCGTTTTCAGAAACCATTCTTTCGTTCGTTGGCCTCTGTAGCTATTGTCGTTCTAGAAATGTTGTCGTTTTCCTGAAATGTTGTTGTTTTATGTTTACTGTCGTTTTTTAGCACTCATGTCGTAGTAGAACATGCTTTCTTGGTTTAGGCTTCTCTCCGTCGTATATGTATGCCTTTTTTATACTGCTTTCCTTTTTCCTTTTGAGAGCATTGTTCTTTTCTTTTCTTTTTTTTTTGAAATTATATTTTTAATAAAAAAATATTTTCATAATTGTCTCCTGAACTATGTAGCTTAATTTAAAGTGCCTCAAATTTTTTAAAACGGTTCAAAACACCACCAAAATGGTTGAAAATATCCAATTCCATCTATAACATTAACATATTTGTATAAAGGAAAAAAAAAACCCTCAACTACCATACCCTTTCCACAATGACACACCACCTCCCCTTCTGGCAACCCAACCCACCCCACAACCACCCTCTCGACTCAGCCCACCCCTCAGTTCAGCGGCCTACCTCCCACCTTGATGGCCAGAGTCGTCGTCGCAACTTCTTCATTGTTGAAATCAGATCTTGTCCTCTCTCACCGCCCATCTCTCTCTCATCGTTCTCTCATCTATGCCTCACCGAGCCTTAACCAATCATCGTATTCACCAATGATGATAGCGTCTCTATTATCAGATATCCAATCTCTGTCAACCGTCGAAGGCGTTTCAACTGTCGATGAACCCAGCTCGTAGTACGAAGACCAGATTGTCGAACCTTCCAACACAGCATCGAAACCCATATCCTGTGCTTGCCAAAGAAGTCCAATTAGACCACAAGGGGCTTTCGCGGACGTGGCAGCTTGGAGCAAAAACTGACAGGGGACGTGGCAGATCTAAAAAAGAACATAGGACGAGTGGCTAAGGGGGTAAACGTCGACATCACGCCCAGCCACACACAAGACCATCCATTTATCGAAGAAATAATGGCGCCTCCTTTCCCCGATAAATATAGGTCGCCGTCGATCCCACCATATGATGGTCGAGGGGATCCCGACGACCATTTGGAGATGTACACAGGGCACATGCTCTTGCACGGGTATGCTGAGGAGATCATGTGCCGAGCCTTTCGGAACCATTTGACGGATTATGCCAGAAGATGGTTCCGGACGCTGAGGCCAAACTTTATCTCGAGCTGGGATGAGTTGAAGGAAGCATTTTCTCTCCAATTCATAGGGGTTAAAAAGTACGTCCCCCCGAAGCAGAATCTGATGACGATATACCAAAAGCCGAACGAATCATTAAGGGAATGGCTCGCGAGATATGGGGAAGCTTTCGCCACCACGATGGATATAACGGACAGAGAGGCCTTGATAGGGGCGTTATCTAGCATGAAGAAGATTACCCCCTTCAAGAGAGAGCTGAACCGAAAATCCCCGTCCAGCTACAAGGAATTTCTTACGCGAGCGCAAGGATACATCAACGCCGAGGAGGCAGACGCCAACGACCCTGAGCACAGGTCCAACAAGAATAAAGGACTGAACAGGGGGTCGACGCCGGCAAGACGGGAAGAAGCGCCGAGGTGGAGGAAGCGGAGACAAGCAGCTAGCTGCGACGTCGAGCGCTCCAGAAGCCCAGACAAGAGGATGCACGTAAACCTCGGCTGTTCCAAAAATATGATTCCTACCACGAGCTAACGGTAAGAGTCGAGGAGGTCTTCAATCAGGTCAGCCGCGGGAACTTGCTGTGCCGATCGGAACCGATGAAGTCAGATCCCAGCCGAAAGAACCAAAAGAAATTCTGTAGGTTCCACGGCGATGTCGGCCACCACACCAACGATTGCGCCGACTTCAAGGATGAAATCGAAAGAGTAATCCGTGAGGGAAGGTTACAAGAGTTCAGGGCCGAACGAAGACCTCGAAATGACGGCCACGGTGGGCAAAATGACGGTCGACGCCGAGAGGAGAACTAGCGCCCAGAAGATCGTGAACCCGTCGGCGTCATACGAACTGTCCTCGGTGGCCCCTATATAGGATGAGACTCAAGGAGGTCTCAGAAGGACTACGCCCACGAGGCCAGGGGGGTTTACAAGGAGCGATTCTAGAGCATCTCCGCTGCAAAAACCCCAAGGTACAACCACACCGACGTGGCCTTTAACGAGGACGACGCCAGCGGAGTTCACTTTCCCCACAATGACGCATTGGTGGTGGAAGCCATGATAGGGAACTACACCGTGTGCCGAATCCTGGTAGACAATGGGAGCTCGGTGGACCTCCTATACTCCGACTACATAGAGAAAATGGGGATCCAAAAGGAACAGTTGGAAAAGACCTCCAGGCCACTATATGGTTTCACCAGGGACTCCGTCATCCCCCTGGGGACCATTCAGTCGCCTATAACCGCTGGAGAAAAACCCCGACAGGCTATTACAATGGCCAACTTTGTGGTTATAAAAGGAGGCTCCCAGTACAACGCCGTCATTGGGAGACCAACCCTTCAGGCGCTAAGGGCCATAACTTCCGTCTACCACCAAAAGGTCAAGTTCCCTACCCCAAATGGCGTGGGCGAGATAAAGAGCAACCAGTACGAAACTAGGGTTGCATACTCCGATGCCCTGCACGGATATGACCAGCCGGGGAGACAGGAGGCTAGGATGGTTTATCAGAACCCCGTCGAGGACATAGACCCTAGGGTTCAAGAGGAGGTCACATGGTCTCAACCCATCGAGCAATTGGTGGAAATTCAAGTTGATGAAGGCGAGTCCACCAAAGTGCTGAAAATAGGCTTAGACTTAGCCCCATCACTTAAGGTTGAGATCGAGAACTTCCTCAGGAAAAAATTAGATGTCTTCGCCTGGAATCACGCCGACATGGAAGGGATCGACGCCAACGTTATATGTCATTCTCTGAACCTCGACCCCTCATATCCTCCCAAATACCAGAAGCGTCGACCGATGAACCCCGAGAGATATGAAGCACTGAAAGAGGAGGTCGACAAGCTGATCAACAATGGATTCATCAGGGAGGCCCATTACCCACGTTGGGTATCAAACCCCGATCTAGTAGTCAAGTCCAACGGGGACTGGAGGACATGCGTCAACTTCAACGATCTCAACAAAGCCTGCCCAGAGGATGGCTTTCCACTCCCACGTATAGACCAAATGGTCGACGCCATGGCGGGACATGAGATGCTGAGTTTTATGGATGCCTACTCTGGATACAACCAGATCCCCATGCATCCAGCTGACGAGGAGCAAACGTCCTTCATAACCAACATGGGCCTCTACTGCTACGAGGTGATGCCTTTCGGCCTAAAAAATGCAGGGGCTACCTACCAGAGGCTCGTAAATAAAATGTTCGCTCAACAGCTCAGCAAGACAATGGAGGTCTACGTCGACGATATGCTTGTGAAAAGCGTCAAGGTCAGCCAGCACGTCGACCATCTGGGGGAAATGTTTGGTGTATTAAGAAAATACCACATGAAACTTAATCCCCAAAAATGTGCCTTTGGAGTTAGGTCGGGGAAATTCCTAGGTTTTATGGTCAGCAACCGTGGGATAGAAGCAAACCCCGAGAAAATTAAAGCCCTACAAGATATGTGGTCCCCAACTAAGCCAAAGGAAGTGCAAAGGTTAACAGGATGTGTCACCGCCCTAAACAGGTTTATATAAAAAATGACAGACAAATGCGTCCCCTTCTTCGATGCTTTAAAAGGAAGCAGGCAACTTGAGTGGACACCGCAATGTGAAGAGGCTTTCCAGAAATTGAAGGAACATTTGGGCAAGCCCCCAATTTTGGCAAAACCAAACCCCAACGAGGAGCTTAGCCTATACCTCTCTGTTTCCCAACACGCCGTAAGCTCCATATTGATAAGAGAAGAAGAAATGGTGCAATTGCCAATCTACTATGTAAGTAAGAAGCTCCTCGACCCCGAATCAAGATACAACGAAATGGAGCGCTTAACCCTCGCCCTGATGGTAGCTTCAAGAAAACTTCGGCACTATTTCCAATCTCATACCAAACGGGTTCTTACAAACCACCCGTTGACACAGGCTCTACAAAAGCCCGAAACTTCCGGTCAACTCCTCAAGTGGTTGGTAGAACTAAGCCAGTTTGACATAAAATATGTGCCAAGAACTGCGATCAAGGGCCAAGCGTTGGCCAATTTTTTAGCCGAGTTCTCCCATAGGCTAGCTCTCACCACGCCTGAAGGAGTCGAGACTACTGAATGGAAGCTCTACGTGGATGGAGCGTCGAGCGAAAGCGGGTCAGGAGTCGACGTCTTATTAATCAGCCCAGAAGGCCACAAGATTACCTCGGCGGTTCGATTTAAATTCAAGGCATCGAACAATAAGGCGGAATACGAAGCGCTAATCGCGGGACTACGATTGGCCAGCCACCTAAAGATTGAAAGGCTCAGCGTCCTCAGCGATTCTCAATTGGTCGTCGGGCAAGTAAAAGAAGAATACCAAGCGCGCGGTGAGAAAATGATAGCGTACTTGAGGAAGGTAAAGGAAGAACTTGTTAAGTTTAAAAACTACAAGATACTTCAAATACCACGAATCAAAAACGCAAACGCCGACGCTCTGGCAAAGCTAGCATCTTCAAGAGATTCTGACACACTAGGGGTCGTTCCCATCGAAGAATTGGAGCGGCCGACTATTGAAGAAAAAGCTAAGGCATTAATCGTCCAAACATGTGAAAATTGGATGACGCCACTCATCCAATACCTGATGGACGCACAACTGCCAAACAATAAAGACGAAGCCAGACGGATCAGGTATAGAGCTGTTAAGTACTTGTTGTACAACGGCTTGCTCTATCGACGAGGCTACTCAACACCTTTACAGCGGTGCCTGGATAATGCCGAAGCCCAGAAGGTCCTCTAAGAAATTCATGAAGGAGTCTGCGGTAACCACACTGGGGGGCAGTCTTTGGCTCTAAAGATTTTGAGGCAAGGATACTACTGGCCCACGCTAAAAAATGACGTTTTTCAATACGCCTGACATTGCGATAAATGCCAAAGGTATGCCACAATTCCTAGAGCACCCCCAGAAAATTTAACTTCCATTCTCAGTCCATGGCCCTTCGCCAAATGGGGGGTTGACCTGATCAGGCCATTACATCTTGCACCCGGAGGCTTTAAATTTGCAATCGTCGCGGTAGACTACTACATAAAGTAGGCGGAGGCAAAGGCTCTAACTACAACCACGGAAGCAGCCTACACTAAATTCATGTGGGACAACATCGTGTGCAGGTTCGGGGTTCCCTACTCAATAGTGTTCGACAACGGAAAGCAGTTCGACAATGCCTCAACACGCAGATTCTGCGATAGCCTGGGCATTCAGAAAGACTTCTCGGCGCTAATCGATCCACAATCTAACGGACAAGTCGAGGCGGTCAATAAAATACTAAAGTATACCCTCAAAAAGAGACTCTACGATCTAAAAGGAAAATGGGCCGAGGAACTTCTCAAGGTCTTATGGGCATACAGAACGACGAGCCGAACTACTACGGGTGAAACACCCTCCTCTATGGCATATGGCGTCGAGGTAGTGCTCCCTGTAGAAATCGAAACACCAACTCTAAGAACTGTCGTCCATAATGACGATGACAACACGGAAGGCATGAACAGAGAACTCGACTTGTTGAAAGAAAAAAGGCTCGACTCCCAACCGCGTCTCGCCGCCTATCAGCAAAGAGCAGCGCGATATTACAATAAGAAAGCTTGGTAAAGAAGGTTCGTCCCAGGAGACCTAGTATTAAAAAGAGTAACGCAGAGTACAAAACCTAAAAATACTGGTCCACTGGGCCCAACTTGGGAAGGGCCCTACCGTATAAGGGAAGTACTACGTCCTGGCACCTACATTTTGGAAAGCCTCGACGGCAAGAGAATTCAACACCCGTGGAATGCAGACCAGCTAAGGCTGTACTACCAATAGTGTATGTAATTCTTACGCATCCCAATGGTACATTCTCTACGAATTAAATAAATTGATATGTTTGCAGAAAGAAAGGAATTCACCCCTTAATAACATGTCTGCTTAAAAAACTAAGGTTATATCAAACAGACATGGGAGGACAGAGGTCGACAGATCACTAAAAACATGGCACGATGACCCCAAGGGGTAAAATCGACATCAGATCCTCCAAGGAGGAAAGGCGAATACTTAGCAAAATTCTAAGGAATTTTCTAAGACGACAACCCCAAGGGGTAAATTCGACATCAGATCCTCCAAGGAGGAAAGGCGAATACTTAACAAAATTCTAAGGAATTTTCTAAGACGACAACCTCAAGGGGTAAATTCGACATCAGATCCTCCAAGGAGGAAAGGCGAATACTTAGCACAATTCTAAGGAATTTTCTAAGGCGACGACCCCAATGGGTGAAATTAGCGTCAAATTCTCCAAGGAGGAAAGACGGACACTTAGCAACATTCTAAGGAATTTTCTAAGGCGACGACCCCAAGGGGTGAAATCAGCGTCAAATTCTCCAAGGAGGAAAGACGGACACTTAGCAAAATTTTAAGGAATTTTCTAAGACAACAATTGCAAAGCAAGGTATGAATAAAATCAGTTATCTTTATAAAAAAAAAAAGAAGGTATATATAGATGAAATAAAAAGATGTCCAAATCAACATTAAGTTACAAACACAAAAAAAAGAGGTAAAAATCTTTTTAGGCTTCGCCGCCAGCCGCCGATTCATCGCCGTCACCAGGCGGGGAAAGGTTGTCGTCACCAGCAGGAGGAGGAGAGTTATAAAGGAAGCTCAAGTCTCACTCAGGACGCTCCTTCTTGATCAAATCAACAATTTGTTGACCTGCAGACTGAAAATCCTTGTTGCGGATGTCGGTGAGCTCCGGAGAAGCCTGGAACTCCTCAATAATCTCAACGCGCCTGGCGTTAAAGGTAGCTGCAGCTTCAGCTTTGGCTTCCCTCTTCCCCTCGGCCTTCCCCTCAGCGAAACGCTTCTTCGCTGCCTCAGCTGCTTCAGACAACTTTTTATCGGACAGATCTGCCCACTTCATAAAATTCGCGACCTTAGCAGTCAACTTTGCCAGTTCGCCTTCTAGACTCGCCAGCTTGGCCACGGCCACGTCTCTCTTCTCGACGGCATCGTCTAACTATTTTTTGGCGTCGTCGATGAGGGAGTTGAGCTTGGCTTCCACATCGTCCATCTCCTTATTACGCTCCTCAACCTTAACTAGGTCAAGGAGGTTAAGGATGGAAAGGACCATGCTCTGAAAAATTGAAGGTCAAAAATACAGAATAATGAGTAAAAAAAATAAAAAAAAATAAAAAAACTCTCGACAAAATCTTACGTGGATTTGGAAGGAGATCTGTTTGCGCTGACGGTCGACCAAGGAAGATTGAGCGGCAGCAACCCAGTGTGGCTCGAGGAAAGACTCGTAGAGAGCCTGAAAGATGAAAGAGAAGCGAGGGGGAAGTTTCAGCATTGCCCCGATCTCGGCGTCAGAGATGTCCGAGACTTGGAAATTTCCATCCATGATTTTTCCCCCGGGAATAAGTACGCGTTCCCTCGGCGCCGAAGGAACGTTAACCTCAGGGATGGGGACCATCGGTGTCCAAGTCTCAGCCACTGGCGTCTTCTCTCTGCGCTTCTTTTTCCGCGCAGGATTCATCTCCGACCCCGAAGGTCCTTTGGTCTTCTTGCTCCTCAGCACGTGGGAAGAAAAGCTAGCTTTCTCCTTTCCCTTCGACGGGGGCTGTTGGCTCGGTAGGGGTTGTTGATTCAACGGCGGCTGCTGGCTCGGCCCGGATTGCTGGCTGCCAGGGAGTTGGATTCTCAAAGACACCATCTCCGCGGAAACGACGAGACAAAGATATAGTCAGCGCTTGGAAAATGAAAACCGTAATAAATAAAGGCATCAAAAGCAAAAGTTACCTTCATCGCTTAAATGGAAGTATGCGCGAACGACATCTAGGTCTGAAGGGTTTGGGAGATCAAGAATCAACCCGGTGGCTCGAAGGTTGGACGTGGTCAAGAGCGTATCAATGTGGCGGATCTCGGACGAAAATGATAAGGCCTCCTCGACCCTCGCCAAGCTATTTCCAGAAAACTTAAGCCGGTCCTGGTTAACTGAAGGGTGAAAGATTGTCAGCATACGAAGAAAAAGAAAGGAGCGAAGTAAGGTAAAAGAAAGCCAAAATTCTCACCCATGTTCCCAAACGCCGCCTGCACCTGCCTTCGACAGGGCAGGCGGTTACTGGGGTGAAAATTGAAAGGCCCGCGAATCATGAAAAACATGGGTTTCCACCCATGTGACGATGAGGGAATGCCCAGTATCAACTTCCCGAATATGGGCTGAGATCTTCCGTGACCACTCAAAAAATACCACCCCTCACACTTGGCGACGTGGCATAGTTTGTACATAAATCCGAACTCATCCAGAGGGAGTTTCATATCAAATTATTGGTGCCACAAAATCCAGGCGCCGGTAAAGTAGTACCAGAAGTTCGGCGCCAGTTGAGCGGGGGAAATGCCATAAAAATGGCAGTAGTCTTTTACAAAAGGATGAACCGGGAAGGTCATCACCGCCATAACGACTCTAGTACAGACCGGGAGGTACCCGGTCGGCGACATGCTAGTCCTAAAATGCATGTCCGGAGGAGGTATTCGAACCACCTCCCGTCGATGCATCTTTCCTTTACAGCCCGGATGATATCTTTATTTCGGACCCTCGACGCCATAACATCGATAGTAAAGAAGGGCCTATCCGGATCACCACGCATGGCAGCCAGGGGGGCATCTACCATCGAGGCAGCTACCCCACCTACACTGCCCCCAGTGAAGGGGATCTGCTCTACCGCCTCGTCCAACATCCGTTCTACACTGCCAAATTCCCTACCGAAGCCATCGCCTGGTTCATATCTAGCTTTGACGTCTTCTATGTCCCTCAGCACGGAGTCGACGCCTGAAGACGAAGAAGACCATGAGATCTCCACCAATGAAGGGGAGTCTGGACGGACGACGGAAGAATCCTCTTGACTGGGGGAATTTTGGGCCATTGTTCTGGTGATTAAAAAGACAGGGAGCTGAGTTAAAACCCTAACGTTGAGAGGAAGAAAAGGATGACTATTTTAAACGATGACTACTCAAACGCCTCGACTTGACGTCGACCATTCATATGAGAATGGTAACGGTGAGTACTCATAGGATCCTAAGTTCCCCAGAACCCAGAAACCAAAAGAACACAGACAACAAAAAGATGGAAACAGAACTATCCTATGCAGAAAAGTAAAACAGAGTAAGTATCCCTAACTTCTACATTTCGCGTATTTCCACACATATGTGAATCAACAAGGAAAAAACCCGGGAGTAAGCAAACCGAACAGAGGATGATGGAGCTTACCGGTAAAGGAGAGTTCCGGGGAGAGAATCTCAGATTGAATGCGGCTTCGCGACACGCCTTGAAAAGCAAGAAGTACGAATCGATGTTTTGTGGAGAAGGATTCCAACGGAGCAAAAGGGCAGTTCAGCAAATACGGGGGTTGTTTGCATTTTAAAAAAATAGTTTTCAAGTTCGAAGAGGGTATTTAAAGGGACGAAAGTCCTCGACCCCTGACCGTTGGATGAAGATTTTAAAATCCAACGGCAAGGGGATCCTGCCCAAATCTGACGGTGACAAACGAGGGTGGGAAACGGTAAGAGTCGCGATCCAAGGGCTCGTATTCGTCCTTTCGAAATAAAGCCTTGCGTCATCATGGGGAATCGACCGACGCGACAGTTGCGTCCCCCGAAGGAAATCCGAAGCGTTCAAGCCATCATTGCAGACGAAGGCTTGGGACCGATTTCCCACACCCGAAGCACGGAAGTACGACCGAACCAAAGCTCGAGGCTGTCTAAAAGGAGCCCTCGACCTGGGG